ATAAACCAAAACACCCGCATGTCCGTAAGGGGAGGCTTCTGTGCTATCGAGATGGAGATCTTTATGAAGTCTCCTTAGACCTTTCCTCTCCTTCCGCTCCAGCGGCACAGTTGGGCAGCACATGTCCCTGGCAAGGTGCTGCTGCTGGTGAGCTGTCCTGAGGTCAAGGCCCGGCCCACCTGCAGCATCATCACTTCCGAGAGTGGCCTGGGGCACCTGTCTTGGTATCTGGAACCCTACAGATTGAGATCAGGGAAACAGAAAACACACGGGGCAATAGTTAGACTCAACACTCCCCCCATGACACCAACAGTGCAAAGTGAGAGGCACGTATAGGTTGTTGTGGTCATCAGTTTGGGATGATCAGGGCTGGGTTGGGTCAGTCCCGGAAAGACCTGGGGGAGTGAATGCCAGTGTGATCTATGACATTACTAGTGCACAAGTGGCTAAGCTTCTCTTTCCTGGGTTTGTTTTCCTGCTAAGACGAGAGAGTGCTCCATTGCTGTGGTGGGAAGCCCCCTGGCCCGAGGTGTGTGAGGGAACGACTGCACCTAGTGATGAGCCTTCTGAAGATTCGCCAGAAGCTGTGACAACAGGGCACAGCCCGCATAAAGGTATAAAGGTTCCTGGCCCTTACCACCCACAGACCCAGAAAGCTCTTGGGCCTGGCTGTGCGTCATGCTGTGGCACCTTCAGGAAGCTTTGAGGCCACCCTCGAGCTAAAGCCAGTGCCCTTCAGCCTCCTAGTGCAGGTCAGGGAGGCTGCCCAGAAGCTGCCCAGTGATCTGAATTAGTGCCAGGGGAACGGGTGTTTGTGTGTGTCTCTGTGTGTGTTTAACAGACAGGGAAGGCACACCTGTAACAGCCAGAGAAATCCACCAGGGCTGGCTCTGTCTTGCTTCCTACGTGAGGGACTAACTGCCTTTGCTCATTCCCACACGTAGGCCAAGCTAACTATGGGAGGAATTTAGTGTAGGGTTTAACTTCAAAGCAAGGATGATAATCGTCCGTTTCAGAACCCAGCATGAGGAGATGTACACACAAGCAGCAATGTTGTGTGAAAGGTTTATGGGAGCACTGTGACCTCACCAAGGACAAAGATGTTTTGCAACCTCATTGGGCTCCTGCTGACACCTACATGTCTTTGGTCACCATTATCCTCTTGAACTCACCCTCTCCTGATTCTCCCTTCCCCAGTGTAAAAAGAAGCTTGGGATTCATGCCCCTTAAGATGGTTCCACAGGACATGAGTCCATCACCTTGCTGTTTCTCTGAAATAAAGTCCGTTTCCTCTGCCCAGGAGGCGGAGGTTGCAGTGAGCCATGATCAGGCCACTTCGCTCCAGCCTGGGCCACTAGAGACCCTGTCTTAAAAAAAAAAGACTTCTTTTGTTGAACAGTCATTTACCAAACCCCAGCTATCTCCTGGGTACTGTGCTGAGTGGGGTATATGACAAAAAAAGACACATCCCCGCCCTCATGGAGTTTATGTCAAATTGTAAGATAATGGTCTATCTACTGATCCCACACATAAAATGCAAAAATTCCTGCCAGACTTCAAGTAATATCCTACCACTTCATGGACACTGTAAGACTGTTACAGCTGTGTACTTCCATTTCCTTTCTCCCACCTTTCAGCTATTGTTGTCTTACATCATATTTCTACCTGTGTCAGAACCCCACAATACATTGTTACTATTTGACAGTCAATTTTCTTTTAAAGAGATTAGCTACAAGGAAAAATCTTGGCTGAGCATGGTGCCTCACGCCTGTAATCCCAGCACTTCAGGAGGCTGAGGCAGGAGGATTGCTTGAGCCCAGGGGTTTGACAGAAGCCTGGGCAACACAAGGAGACCTTTTCTTTATATAAAAGAAATTTAAAAAATTGTTTCAAAAATCGGCCTGGTGCAGTGGCTCACACCTGTAACCCCATCACTTTGGGAGGCTAAGGCAGGCAGATTGCCTGAGCTCAGGAGTTCATGACCAGCCTGGGCAACATGGTGAAACCCTGCCTCTGCTAAAATACAAAAAAATTAGCTAGTTATGGCGGTGTGTACCTGTAGTCCCAGCTACTTGCGAGGCTGAAGCACGAGAATTCCTTGATCTGGATAGCTGAGGTTGCAGTGAACCAAGATTATGCCACTATACTGCAGCCTGGGAATCAGAGCGAGACCCCGTCTCCAAAAAAAAAAAAAAAGAAAAAATCTTTTTTGATGTTCAGCACTGTTAAGTTTTGTGTGTGCATCCAAAGTTCTTTCTGTTTTCCTTCTGAGCCAAGACATTGTCAAATCTGTTGACAATGATTTTTCTCCGCATTTTTGTTTGTTTACCTGTTTGTATAAACGTGTTTATGTCACCTTCATTTAAAAAAATTGTGATGTGAGATCAGGAGTTCAAGACCAGCCTGGCCAACATGGTGAAACCCTGTCTCTACTAAAAATACAAAACATTAGCTGGGCATAGTAGCGGGCGTCTGTAATCCCAGCAAACTGGGAGGATGAGGCAGGAGAATCACTTCAGCCCGGGAGGCAGAGGTTGCAGTGAGCCAAGATCGCACCACTGCACTCCAGCTCTGGCTACAGAGTGAGACTCTGTCTCAAAGAAAAAAAAAATGCTGACTAGAAAGTTCTGGGTTGCATAGATTCTGATGAAAAGTCTGATGGATAACTTTAAATTTGTTCCTCTGCATGTAGTGTTTCTTCTTTTGTTTTCTTTTTCTGCCAGGGCATTGGTGTTGGGGTTTGAATCAAGCTTCTCCGTAGCTGAACTGGCCTTTAGTTGTGATGTTGCTGTGGTTATTTTCAATATAACACAGTATTTCAGATTCAGGGTACAAGATACCAGTATGCAAAAATCAATTGTATTTCTTCTTATTTTATAAATTGGCATAAGAATTGTACACATATATGGGGCAAGTAGTGATATTTTCATACATATAATGTATAGTCATCAAGGCAGAGTAATTAGCATATGGATTGTCTCAAACATTATTTCTTTGAGTTGGGAATATTCAATGTCTTCCTAGCTATTTCAAACTATATATTATTTGTTTATTGTTTCAAGACAGAGTCTTGCTCTGTCACCCAGGCTGGAGTGCAGTGGCATGATCTCAGCTCACTGCAATCTCCGCTTCCTGAGCTCACTGCAATCTCCGCTTCCTGGGCTCAAGCAATTCTCTTGCCTCAGAGTCCCTGGTTACGGGGATTACAGGCAGCCACTACCATGTGTTGCTAATTTTTGTGTATTTAGTAGAGACAAGGTTTCGCCATGTTGGACCTGCTGGTCTCTCAACCTCCTCACTTAAGGTGATCTACCCGCCTTAGTCTCCCAAAGTGCTGGGATTACAAGTGTGAGCCACCATGTCTAGCCTATATATTATTGTTAATTATAGTCATCCTACAATGCTATGGAACACTATAACTTCTCCTATCAAGCTGTAATTTTGTATTTTTTTTTGAGATGGAGTTTGGCTCTTGTTGCCTAGGCTGGAGTACAGTGGCATGATCTTGGCTCACTACAACCTCCGCCTCCCAGGTTCAAGTGATTCCCCTGCCTCAGCCTCCCGGGTAGCTGGGGTTACAGGCATGCACCACCACGCCCGGCTAATTTTGTATTTTTAGTAGAGATGGGGTTTCCCCATGTTGGACAGGCTAGTTTCGAACTCCTGACCTCAAGTGATCCACCCACCTTGGCCTCCCAAAGTGCTGGGATTACAGGCGTGAGCCACCACGCCCGGCCTAATTTTGTATTTTTTTTTAACAAATATCTCCCTATCCCTGCCACTGTTTACCCTTTCCAGCTTCTAGTATCCTCTGTTCTACTTTTTATTTCTATGAGACCAGCATTTTTTACCTTCTACATATGAGTGACAAGGTGTGGTGTTTAAGTTTCTGTTCCTGGCTTATTTCACTTAACATAAAGTCTTCCACTTCCACCCAGGATTGTGGAGACTGACAAAATTTCCTTCTTTTTTAGCCCTGAAAAGTATTCCATTGTGTACATGTACCACATTTTTTTCATCCATTCATCTAGGCTGATTCCATAGCGTGGCTATTGTGCATACTGCTGTAATCAGTGTGGGAGTGCAGATGTCTCTCTGACATGGCTGATTTCCTTCATTTTGAATAAATGCCCTGTAATGGGATTGCTGGATCATATGGTGGTTCTATTGTAGTTTTTGGAGGAACTTCACTTCTGTTCTCCCTGGTGTTTCTACTAGTTTGAATTCTCACCAATAGGGTATGACAGTTGCTTTTTCTCTGCATCCTTGCCAGCATTTATTTCTTTTCTTTTCTGGAGACAGGGCCTCACTATATTGCCCAGGCTGGTCTTGAAGTCCTGAGCTCAAGCATTCCTCCTCCCTTGGCTTCCTAAGTAGCTGGGACTACAGGCCTGCTCCATCTCAGCCAGCTCTCACTGTGGTTTTGATTTGCAGTTCTCTGATGACTAGTGACGTTGAGCTTTTTTAAAAACGTTTTTTGGCAATTTGTATGCCTGCCTTTGAGAAATGTCTATTCAGATCGTTTCCCTATTTGAACTTGGATGGTATTTTTTGCTGTTGAGATGTTTGACTTGTTTGTATGTTGTGGATATTAATACCCTGTCTAATGAATAGTTTGCAAATCTTTTCAATCTTTTGTAAATAAGTAAATATGGGATTTAATTTAAAAAAAATTTTTTGAGACAGGGTCTTGCTCTGTCACCCGGGTTGGAGTGCAGTGGTGCAATCAGGGCTCACTGCAGCCTAAACCTCCTGGGCCCAAACCTTCCTCCCACCTCAGCCTCCTGAGTACCAGGGACTCCAGGTGCTCCCAGCTAATTTTGAATTTTTTTGTAGAGAGAAGATCTCGCTGTGTTGCCCAGAGTGGTCTCCAACTCCTGGCCTCAACTGATCCTCCCACTTCAGCCTCTAAAAAGCTGGGATTACAGGACTGAACCATTGTGCCCAGCTTGAATATGGGATTTTAGGCATTAAGCAGGGACAGCTGTTTGGGTGAGTGTAATTAAGGAGCTGGGTTCTTCAGTCAGAGAGCATCCCACCAGGCATTCACTAAGCCCAGACCGTGTTCAGAGCGCTGGAGGAAATGCTGGAAATGCGACACTGGGCTCCTGTGGTCCTACGGCAGTGCACGTCCACCAGGGAATCAGAGATGGCCACTGAGTGTGTCCCCAGGAGCATCAGGCCCACTGGCCAGGGCCACTTGAACCCCAGTCCCTGAATTCCACAGCCTGACAGCTGTTTTCACCCATGAGCTAATAGCTCTGCCTTAGGGCTGGTCTAGAAGAGATGGGGCAGGGGGATGTCTATTCTCCTTCCCTTTGGACAAAGCCCTGCAGCAAGCATGGATGCCCTCATGTCACATCTCCTATAAAGCAGAATCAGGCATTGAGAGGAGGGGGGATGGGGCTCTCGTGACGTAGGCAGGATGGTTGACTGGGGACAGCAGCGCCCCTGAGTGTCAGCTCTTGGTCTGTGCCACAGAGCCTCAGCACAGCATGGCCAGCTGCTTCAGCCTCCATCCACTTGAGCTGCCTCTGCTTCACTCCCTTGCAAAGGATCTGCAGGTGTCCCTCTGTTCAAGGCCACAGAGGGCACAGGGAAGCCAGGTGTCCGCTGTGCCTCCTAAGTGCACTTGCCCGGGAGGCTAAAGCAGAGTTGTTCAGGGCAGATATAAAGGATGTGGACAAGCAATCCCAGGGCTGGGGGAGGCTTCCAGCACTGTCATAAGCAGCACAGACCCATGCTCTTATTCCATCGGGGCACAGGCACCCCTTCCCCACACCAGGACAGTGGCCCCTCAGCAGAAGGGCAGCTGGGGCCTTAGGGGCACAGGGTTCTACTCCATGACGGCATGAACCCTCCAAACCTAGAATGGATCCCCATTTTTGATGGGGAAAAGGCTCCACTGTGTGTGCAGGGCTGCTCCGGCCCTCCTGGGTGTGGTCTAGTCCCAGAAACAGCCTCTGAGGCAGAACCTGGGGTCTCCCTTCACCTGGAAAACAATAGGTTACTCGGCTGCCTGGGCCTGGGTCCTGAGATCAAGGGTAACTCCGTAAGGACAGAATCTGCCCAGAAATGCTCTCCCTAATCCTCATTCCTTTCCCCACCTCATTACTACCTTTGACTCTGTTTCTGTTTCCCTCTGTCTCTGTGTCTTGCCTCAAGAGGGTGGGTGATCTCTTGCTGTGACTGCATCTGACACGTGTCCTGTACCAAGTGACTTTTTAGGTGTCTGCATTGCAAGATGTCATTCTGCTGAGCTCTTTCAGGCTCTGTGTCCAGATTCTGAGGTCTCTGACCAATTTGGAGGGCAGTGTCCCAGGTCGGCAGTTCTCTGAGCTGTGGAGGACTTGTGTCCAGGGTGACAGTCCTCTGGGCTGGTTAGGGTTTTCTCCCAGCGTGTGAGGTGTCTGATCTGCTTTAGGTGTTGTGTGTAGAATGCAAGGCGTGGGAGCAGTTCTGGATTTCAGGAAGGAGGGTTTGAGCTCTCCGGAGTGTCTGTGTCAAGGATGGGACACAGTAGCGCCCCCTGGGCTCCATATCCTAGGTTGTGAGAACACTGAGGTTATTCCAAACTCACAAAAGATGTCTGATCTGTTTGGGGTCCTGCATCCTGAGTGTGTCCTCTCTGGTTATGAGTCCCCACCTGAACAGTCGAGGCTGCTGACATGTTGAGTAGTTGCTGTGTCTCATGTTGTAAACTCTGCTGTGTGTTCCACACTCAGAGGTCTCCCAGGTGTTTCTTGCAGGTCACATTGTGCCCACGACCTCTGTGTTCCCTGTCCCAGTCCCCTCAACTGTTTCTGTTTCTGCATCTCAGGGTGGGAGCACTATGGTTTTGTGGGCTTCTGAGTCCAGGGTGTGAGGTCTGTGAGGTAATTGGGTTTCTACATAACAGGTTCTGAAGTTGCTCACATGCACAAGCATCTGGATTTTAGAATCGGTCATCTCCAAGCAGGTTTAATGTCTGTGTCCTCCTTCACTGAGTTCTCGGAGGTGTGTGAGTTCTGCGAACTGTTCAGTGTTGTGTGTCCAGGGTTGATGTGTCTGAGCTGCTGGTTCCTGGGTTTTTATCTGGGTTTTCCATGCTGTTTGGGTATATTGGGCTTTGTGAGTCACCCTATGGGGTTCCTGAGGTATTTGAGAGTCTGTGTCCAGGGTAGGATATTTTAGAGCTGGTGGGAGATATGAGTCCTGGTCTGTCTTTGGTTCCATGTTCCATGGATTAAAATGTCTGTCCTCTTTGGGAGAGCATCTCCAGCATGTGAGACATTGTCACACAGCATATTTCACACATGAGGTGTTTGTGTCCTTTTCCTGATGTTTGCGTCTCACCCTGTGCAGTCAGTGAGAGCTTGTCTCAAGCTGGCTGTCCCAGACTTGTCCATTCCAGCCCCTTACAGCCTGGCTTACTTATCTAGACCTGTGAGTTTACACGGCCAGCATCCTTCACAGCCACCTCTGGGGTTGCAGTCAAGTGACTCTATTGAGAGTCACAGCTCTCCCTCAGCACCAGTTGTGGAGATCTGATTTTGGGGAGGGGTTTCTTCTGTGTCTCTGACGAAAGACACAGAACAGGGCTCCCTCTCTCAGGGATGAACAGGACCTGCCCATGTGGTCCTGAGTCGTGTGGTCTGTCTCCTGCTAGACCTCACTGACACCCAGAAAATAACCTGGACACAGTGTCCCTGTTGCATCTCTCCAGAACACATGCCTCAGACCCGGGATGCCCTGTGCCCTGGTGGGACGGCAGAAGACTCTAGCTGTTTGGATCATCTTCCAAAACCCTAACTTCACTTTTACATGATAAGGATCTACAGAGTGGCCCCTTCCTCGAAAACACATAGAGTTCTGAATGCAGGATTTGGGGCTAGGGAAGGGAGGGGATGCAGGTAGATGCCATCTGTGGCCGGGGGAAGGTGTGGGCCTGAGACCGTCTAAGCTGTAATGTAGGACTAATGGGCACAGACCGTTCAAGAGAAATGTGTGTTGCGCTGAAGAAAGTAGAAACTACCCCCAGAATGTCCCCTCCGTCTCTTAAACATGCACGGTTTAATTCTGTTATTTTGTGAGGCTCTTTGCATGATGATGCAAGGATGCATAGAGGACTCAGTCACACGGGGGAGAACGAGACCCTGAATGGTCTCACAGTCTAGCGGGGGAGGCAGATGTGTTCCTTCAGGCAACAAATATGTATGAAGGTCTTCTATGTGCCAGGCACTGCTTCAGGTGTGGGGATACATCCGGGAAACAAATCAGCAGAAATCCCTGCCCTGAAGGGGACGTGATAGGTGGCAGACAGCAAACCCTCCACAAGGGAATCTGAGACAGGTTTCAATTAAGAAGTTTATTTTGCCAAGGTTAAGGACGTGCCCCTGACACAACCTCAGGAGGTCCTGACAAAACATCTCCAAGGTCGTCAGTGTACAGCTTTGGTTTATACACTTTAGGGAGATGTAAGACATCAATCAGTGCATGTACAGTGTACATTGATTCAGTCTGAAAAGGCAGGACAACTGTAGATTGGCGGGGCAGGGGGGGTCTTTCAGGTCATTGGTGGATTCCAAGATTTTCAGATTGGCAATTGCTTGAGTTTATCTAAAGACCTCCAACCATAGGAAAGAGTGTCTGGATTAAGATAAGGCATTGTGGAGCCCAAGGTTCCTATGCCAATGAAGCCCCGAGGTAGCATGTTTCAGAGAGTATAGGCTGTTAATGTTTTTTATCAGACTTCAATAGGTGCTGGACTCTTCACTAATTCTCTCCTAGGTCAGGAAAAAGACCTGGAAAGGAAAAGGGATTCTCTACAGAATGTAGACTTCCTCACAAGTGATGGCTCTGTAGGGCTATTTCAAAATGTGTCAAAGAACTATATTGTTGGGTGAAATACTTTGACTTCTTTCAGGGCCTATTTGTAACATGATGCTATGCTAGTCAGGCTTGAACTTGGTATCTTATTGCTAAAGCCTTAAGATCTCTTCCTTAAGATAACAGAAATGCTGGTCAGTTGTGCCTGAATTCCGTAGGGAGAAGGGTGTAATGACGCATGTCTGACCCACCCTTCCCATCATGGCCTGAACTAGTTTTTCAGGTTAACTATGGAATGGCCTCGGTGTAGAGAAGGGTCATTCAGATGGCTGGTGGGTGGGGCTTACAATTTTATTTTTAGTTTACAAAGGTGATGGGGTTCTGTTAAAAAATATCCAGATGGTGGTACAGGGACTGGGAATAGGGGGAGGAACTGGGTGGGCTGCAGGTTAGTTATGACACAGAGTGACCAGGGTAGCCTGGGTTGGAAAGGTGACATTTTCACAAAGATGTGAAGGGGGAGGAGTCAGTCAGGCAGATATCTGTGGTGAAGGCCTTCCAGACAGAGGGACCAGTTTGGGAATAAAAGTCAGAGGCTGAGTCATCCCGACACAGCACACATACCACAAGGACACCAGCGTACCAGCAGGAAGCTGAACAGAAGGCAGGAGGTGCCACGGTGACAGGGAGGAGATCCTGTTGGACCAGGTAGGCTTCTGCTCTGCCAGTGAGACGGAAAGGGACAATGAAGGGCCGCAGATGCCGAAAGCACATCTGTGCAGCCTGCAGAGTTCAGGCGAAGGTGGGACCCAGGCAGGAGCAGTCAGAACCAGGAGGGCTTGGGCAACAAGCTAGGACAGGCAGAGCAGCTTATGCAGCCCACTCGGACTTGACAGACATGCTCATCCACGTGTTCATGTCCTTGTCGCCATGGACATGTATGTTGTGGCCACAGAACCACATACTTGATTAGGAGGCTGGAACCCAGTCAACAGTCCTTCTTCCCTACAGATCTTGTGGGAGGTCCACGTGCACTTGCCATGGGGTACTCAGACAGTTTGGTGAACCCATCACTGTAGTCCCACTGGGAGGCCAGAACTGAGCCTGGTGGAGTAACATACTGGCCGACACATATTTTAAAATTCTGGCCAGGTTTGGTGGCTCACACCTGTAATTCTAGCACTTTGGGATGGTGAGGCAGGCAGATCACTTGAGGTCAAGAATTTGCGATCAGCCTGGCCAACATGGTGATGCCATCTCTATTAAAAATACAAAAAAATTAGCCAGGCCTAGTGGCGTGCACCTGTAATCCCAGCTAATTGGGTGGCTGAGGCAAGAGAATCACTTGAAACCAGGAGGCGGAAGTTGCAGTGAGCTGAGATTGTGCCACGGCACTCCAGCCTGGGTGACAGAGCGATTCTCTGTCTCAAATAAATAATATTGTAGTCTCTTTTATTAGGAGTTCCAGAATTAGGGAAGGGAGGAAAGTTACAACCTTCCCACCAACTCCAAGAAGAGAATCTCTTTGCACAGATGTCCTCTGTTCACTGGATTCTCCTGGAGCATTTCTAATGCACACAAAGCTGCTACAATCATAGCCAGTACTGACCAAGTACGATGGGTGAAATTCCTTTATTAACTGAATAAACTTGTTCTGAGGGCTGACTAGACACGCTAGGGACAAGGGGATGCTTTCGGCTGTATCCTTTCTGGCAGATGACCTCCACACTGGTGGGGGTAAAGAGAGCCATGGTAGAGTATAACCCACAGCCCCCTAGAAGCACACAGGAGTGCACCCTACCCTCACCTGAAGGATGTGTGTGTGCAAAGGTTGGGTCAGGATAGACTCTTCAGGGGAGCAGAGGTGTGGGCGGCAGGCACTTTGATTCTGCACAGCTTACAGCCCACAGAGCTGAAGAACAGGAGAAGCCAGATTCCCATCCTCAGTCTGTTGATTTCCACACTATATTTGTAGTCTGATCAACTCCACAGCTGTGTTGCAGCCACTAACAATGCTCCCTCTGCTCTGTTTGCCTCTAGATTCTTATCTGGTAAATAAAATGAGGATGGAGAAGTAATTTAGGGCGGGGGTAGATTGCAAGTGTCTCTGTGATAGGGTAAAGCGCCTCCTGGTGGAGCCCTAGAAACTAAATTCAACTGTTAGCTGTGAGGCAAGGGACTCCGGGGCAGCTCCTATGGAATGTGTTAGAACTTATCAGGGTGGCTATGCCCTGCCAGGGGCCTGGATCTCACACAGGTGGATGTGGTGTTGGGAACAGACTGACTGTCCCATCATGGAATAATATCTGCATCTCAGCAAGGGGAACATAAGCAAAGTATGTTGTCATGAGTTTAAAGAGGCCTGGCTTTGGAGTCTGAGAGAACCCGCATGTGAGTCCCAAATCCAGCCTTTTCTGCTTCGGTGCCCTGACCTCTTTCAGCTTGGTTCCTTATCTGTTGATGGGGGTTTGATAATTACCTCTCTGGGTCTTTGGGAAATCAATACTGTACATGCATGGCATAGGTCCTCAACAGCCAGGCTCCAGGAATAGCCATTCACACTCTGCCATGTTAGGGGCACATCAGCGTGTGGGGCCAGCGTGCCGGGACAGTGTGAGTCCAGTGTATTGTACAGCGGTGTTCAGGCTTGGGCTGCTGGTGGCAGGGCCGGGGCCATTTCCATCTTTCCTTTGTTATTGTCCACATGTCAAAAGCAGACACTTCCATTCATACACAGGTGTGCCATGCTAGGAGCTAAAATAACAGGCTATAGTGAATGAAGCTAAGCCTCAGAGTCCACTCTGTGGCAGGAAGGACCAGCTGTGAGGCAGGTCCTCAGCCCATATCACTTCATGGTACTGAACCTGGGGCCATAATTCCAAACTCCACATTTGTACAACGATGTGTCTACAGGAATAGAGAGATGAATGTTGTGTATTTTTATTATTATTTACATTTTTATTGTATATATTTGAGGTATAAAATATGTTATACACACATACACGTGAAATAATTGCTATAGTCAGGCAAATGAACCTGTCACCTTCCTCAGTTACCTTCCTGCATCCTCTTCTTTGCAAGTAAACTTATCCCAAAACCCTACTCTGAGGTGAAATTCCAATTGGTTGGCCCACTGGGGGAATTTTCACGAATCCCCATCATATGCTATTGAGTAAAAATAACAAACCCACTAAGTGTGCCTTTTGATCCATATCCTCCCTAGGTAAAGAAGAATTTGCTCTCCTTCACTTGAGAGCTGAAGGTAAGGGGGAATAAGGCAGAGGGGGATGGAGCAAGTACAGGCCAGACAGAGGGAAGGTTGGGTGTGAGGTGGTGGACATGAGAGGGAGAGCCAGAGATTGAGCATGCACACTAGAGAGAGAGTCCAAGTGTTGGCTGACTGATGAACACAGAGAGGTCTAGAATGTGTAATACTGAGGGTGGGTGCACCAGGAGGAGGCATCTGCTACAGAGGATGCATTTGGGGATAGCCAAGGCCTGATGTCCATAATCCAGGAGGCTGGACTTTATCCTAAGGGCAGCAGACAGCCCTAGTAGAATTTGAAAAGGTTTGACATGACCAGATCAGCAGTTAAGAAAGGTGCCTCACGCACTGGGACAGAGAATGTATGGAAGGGGTCAAGACTGGCAGCAAGAAGATGAGCTATGAATTGGTGGTGGTCATCAAGGAGGGAGATGAGGGTGACTGGACTGGGGAACTTCCTGTGGTGATGGAGAAGAGTGAGTGTCAAGATCTCACTTAGAAAGACTTGGGAGGTTGAACTGGCCAGGCTTGGTCACCGTGGGGATGGTGAGAGAGAGGTAGCAATCAAGGATGGCTTTCAAGATCTCTGGCACAAGCTGCTGCGTAGAAGCCTGTCAGTGAGTCGGGCAGCAAAGGAGGAGGGGCAGGTGTGCTGAGAGTGGGAATGGGTGGGTTCACTTTGGTACATGCTGAGTAGTCCTTGCTCTGGGACCTAAGGACATATGAGTTGAATGACTTCGCAGAGCTGCCCTAACCTCTGTGTACCTACCACACCTTATTTGTAACAGGATAATAAGAATAATTAGGAAATATGACTAATTTGTTTCAGTTGTTGAGTCTAGGAGAAGGTTCTCCTTTTATACTGCACAGTGGTATTTTCTTTCGAGCTCCTCCCAAGTAAAATGGGACTGTCTCAATTTACCCGTATAGTGTCTTGATTTTAGCTATCTGCTTTGGGTATCATCACCATTCGGCATGTATTGCCAATACTAAAGAAGTAATAGATGTGATAATAAACACCTGTTACTTTGAATTTATGTTTTCAAAGTAACAGGTATTTATTATCACATGTGTGCTGTAATAGCCTATCAGCCTGTCCTTCAGACAAACACACTCTCCCTTCAAATCCTCTAATCTTCCTCTTGAAGCCCACCTCTCCCTTCAGGGCTTGGGTAGGGCCTTTGGGACTAAGGATGTCTAACACTCTCTTCTTTGAGAAGTCATCTCCCACTGTCCAGGAGGCTGGATGGGAGGAGGCGAGTGCAACGGGCCTGTCGGGTTGTCAGTTAGTGCAGAAAATCTGTAGACTCGGGGAGGATCGAGCCACTTGTATGCATTTGGAAATGACAGTGTATGGCTGCACAGCATGAAGGGGATGAAGCCACAGACATCTGGATTTAAATTGTAACTCCTCCATTTATTTCTTGTGTGACTTTGGGAAAGTTACTTAAGCTCTCTGCGGCTCGGTTACTTCAATTGTAAAATGAAATTAAGATAATATTCTAGGATAACGATTGATTTTCCTTCCTTCATTTAGACCACATAATACTACTTTTTGAAAATTATAAACTGCTGTTCATGAGGCAGCTTCTCCCAGGGTTAAAAAGGAATGTACTATCCGTGTATCTGCTACGACAGACCTTGTTGCATGTCACTTGATTCCTGAAATACGCCATGGTAAAGAAATCTCTGTGCCATCCTATTACGGATGAGGCACTGTAGGCAGAGAGAGAGGTTAGGCACTTTCGTGTTCTGGGAAATCGCTGACCTTTATAGGACCTATGTTCTCCATAAGAGTTAGAGAAAGGTTGTTGGCTCTCCACCCTGTGCCATGACTCCCAAATGGCAGACCTTGTTATTTTGTCTCAGGAATGATTCTCTCAGATGGGAAGTGTGTCCTACAGAAAGGAGCTAGGCAGAGAGAGAAACATTCCCTGTTCAGCTAGCTGAGACTTCCGCTAATTACAAAAAACTCCTGCCCCATAAATCTCCCCAGTAAAACCTGTCTACTCCTTCCTATGGAAGACACACCCCCTTCCCCCATCCATTTACCCCGACAGTGTGATTTCCACTTCTGGGGCACTCACCCTACGGCAGTAACCTGAGTAATTTCAGTGTCTTGGATTGGTTAGTTTCTGTCTTTACCAAGGTGTATGTATCGCTCATGCAAAAACACTAACTAATGAAAATGAAACAGCAGGTGTCGGTTCTTAGGGGCGCACCCTAGCTCAAAACTCCCAGCCAATCACAGAAGTCGGCCTCTTCCCATCTTTCCAGCCTAGTTTCCACGTCCCTCGCCTGTGAACTTCCGCTGCGTGGATTCTCTTCCTATGACCTCCGGAAGCTCTCATGCCGCCCACGAGCCACGTTTCCAAAAGGACCGCTCCGGGAACGCCATGGCGCTCCTCCGGAATTGGTGATCTCCACGCCTTCTCCCTTCATAGGCGACCTGGGCGGCATGAGTCTAGAGAAGCCACTGAGCAGTTCTCGCGCGCGCGCGCGCGCGCACACACACACACACACACACACACACACACACACACACTCACTCACTCCTTCTCTCGGGTCCCCGGCCGCCCGAGCAGCTAATCAAAGGTTCAGGTTCTTAGCAGCGTAGCATCCCTGTGACTTCCGCTCGTCCTCGCTTACGTTCTTTTCCGCTTTGTGGCGGCTCTAGCCCGCCGGAGGGCGACTCCTCTCGGTGGTCTTAACCCTTCAATTCTGGGCGGGCCCGCGCTGCATTTCTAAGGCCCAGGAAAGGAGGCCCCGCGCTGGCTCCTGGACGGCGGGAACCGGCTACGGAACGAGAACGCGCGTGAGAGAGCCCGAGAGAGACGGAGAGCGAGCGAGCGCGCGGGAGAAACTGAGAGCGGGAGGGTGGGAGAGAGATTTGTAGAGAGAGAGAGCAAGAGGCCGACGCTGAGGCTGTCCCCTAGCATAGGCCAGGGTGTCTTGGGGCTCGAATCCCTGGGTTGGGCCGGCTGGGAGTAGGGCTTTCGGAGGAAGTCGGTGGTTTTCGCCACCGCCCTTAGCTTCCGGGTATGGGAATGGCGGTGGCGCAGTTTGGGGGTGGCGTAGTTCTCTTTCCCTTCTTACGGGTGGCCTTTTTCAGCGGAGAAAGAGGATGCCGAGACTTGCCTCAGGCATTGGTAGCCGGCGGGACCACACTTGGGCTCTAATCATTGTTCAACAGGTTTAGAAATCGCCATGTTCTTGGCATCACCTCCTTCTCCATCTCCTCTCCCACCGCACAGCAGGAAACACCGTGACTGGAGGGTTTTCAAGGAAGACACCGTTGCCCCTTTTGAAGCAAACCGTCCCGCAGACCCTTTCTAGGACTTGTGATGGAGGGAGGGTCGTGATGTGACATGTGAAATGTGCGTTTAGTGGGCGCTGTGATTCCTGCATTCATGCGCAATGACTGGTCTAGGCCATTTGTGTCCAGTACCTGCACAAGCTGTAGGGTCTCATGTTTAGAGAAGGAGGGCCTCTCCGCCCTCCACCTTGCTGGAGTGCAGGCCACCATGGGCGGTAGCCCTCTGTGCCATCAGAAATGTGGTGCTCTGAGTACTCATGGATTTCCAGCTGCATCTCCAATGCCATTTCCCTCTACTGACATATCCCCATTGGGTGCGTTGGATTTCTGCGTGGGTGTGAGGGTGGTTTGGTGATTGCTCGGGAAAAAAAAAGCGAATGGCCTTGCTTGGCTGGGCTTATCAGGGCACTAGCAATGGAGAGAGAAAGGACTTCTGTATTCTTAGGAGCAGAATTTCAACAACTCCCTGTCAAAGGGGCAGTGTGTCTTACCCGGAATGCTTTGGCATTTAATAAAATGTCCTGTGAATACTTTTCATAGGGAAGCACTGTTTTTACTGTTTCTGGTTGGACAGTGGTTACATTTGAAATCATAGTTCAGAATTCGTGAAATATCTAATGGCAGTAATCCATTTCCTTTCCTTAGTGTGTGGTTGGAAGATGAATTCCAGATAAATGTTCAGTTCCGGGCTGGGCAATTGTGCCTGGCACCAGAGATGTAAGTTCTTTAATGGAAAGGCCTGATGTGCTAAAAAAAAAAAAAAAACAACTATATGATATTTAGCCACTTAGGAGAATATGAAGGTCAGGGGAACCGCAGGTAAGTATATGTCAGTGAATGCGAATTAAAACAGGTGGCAATATAAAGAGAGATTGGTGTCACAAATAGTGGAGTGACTTCTGTATTTCAGCAGACCTTAGTGAGAAATGGTCACCACCACTGCCTAGATGTGTGACCTTCAGTGCTACTCAGAAGTTACTCTCTGATCCTGTTACCTCATCTGCAACTGGGGCAGATAATATATATCATACCACACCCTGGGAGAAGCTGTTCCCACCACCTGGGCTATGGTGGTTTTGACTTCCTCTGTGTCAGAAGCCCCCGTGTCTCATGCTTGCCACGGTTGTCGTTTTGTTTAATTTTGTTTTGTTTTGGGGGTGATGGTCTCACTCTGTCACCCAGGCTGGACTGCACTGGCCTCAACCTCCTGGGTTCAAGTGATCATCCCACCCGAGCCGCCTCAGTAGCTGGGACCACAGGTGTACAGCATTGTGCCTAGTAATTTTTTGAAAATTTGTTGAGATGGTGGTCTCGCCCTGTTGCTCACGCTGGTCTCAAATTCCTGGGCTCAAGCACTTCTCCCCCCTCAGCCTCCCAAAGTGCTTGGATTAGAGGTGTGAACCACCATTCCTGGCTTCTTGGACAATATCTTATTTCTGACTGAGACTTGTCCTTGGGATGGGTCTGCATTGGGCAATTCACTGAAGGCACCGCTGAGTGGCGTGGGCTGTCAGTAAATATCTGGAGGAATGTGACCTGGCCAGTGAGGTTGTTTTCTTTTATAGGTGAAGGTGTAGCAGTCACTCGACCTACACCCACAGCATCGACCTTGTGAACCCAGCGACCTGACTGCCTTGGGCGAGTCTAGGTAAGCTCCTTTCTCACAAGAGGAGACATGCTCCTTGTCTTCCTCTTGCTGCTCTAGCCACTGGTCTTGGTCCCTCAGAATGTGCCCCTCCCTGGACTCCCGGTTGTACTCCCGCTGCTTTTCTGTGTACTCACCTGCTGGGAGACCCCTGATGCCAGCACCATGCTTCACTGCTATCTTCATTTTCTTCTGTCTCTCTTAAAAGTAGGCATTGCTGCCTTTACTGACTACCTGTTCTTTTGTTACAAAGCTGCTAAGAATTACAACTCCTCCACTCAAGACCCAGCAGGATAGAGATAATCTGCGTAGGCATCCAAAATATAGAACATCTGTGAGCCGTGTGTAGGACAGACTCTTTCCTAAATCTGTGTGGCATTGCATGGCTAAGAGTCAGACTCCTTTCCCCTGGCATGGCACGAGACTAGGAGCACAGTTTTCAGCACCCAGAGACCTTGCACAGATCTTAGTCATTTTGCTGTAGGATTTTGGCACTTCTAGAAAAAGGTCCATGTGGCCAGGTGCGGTGGCTGATGGCTGTAATCCCAGCACTCTCCGAGGCGGGTAGATCACAAGGTCAGGAATTTGAGACCAGCCTGACCAACATGGTGAAACCCCGTCTCTACTAAAAATACAAAAATTAGCCAGGCATGATGGCGGGCACCTGGAATCCTGGCAACTCAGGAGGCTGAGGCAGGAGGATTGCTTGAACCCGGAGGTGAAGGCTGCAGTGAGCTGGTATCGGGTTACTGCACTCCAGCCTGGGTGACAGAGCAAGACTTCGTCTCAAAAAAAAAGGTCCATATTTATTTGGGATTATTAAATGAAATCTGTGTCTTTAAATGGAAATAAATACATTTTATAAGGGGATCTCATATCATATTTGGAACATTGAAAAAAGCATCACATAGGACTGGCTCAATTTTTAAAAGAAACAGAAAGCTCTTCCTGGCGCTCATTTCCAGGGTGGAGTCTGGATTCACTTGCTTAGCTGTTCTCTTTCTCCTTCCGCACAGGAGAAATGAAGCCAATGACAGTGGGTAGTGCGAGAGGAGTGAGAGGTGCAGCATTTTCAGCATAAGAACAGAACTGGCCAGGAGAAAATGAGAGTAAGGAGTCGCAGTGTTGTACCCGATCCCGGGGCAGCTGTGGACACACGGTTCAGCCCCCAGGATTCTGCTGTCTGAACTCTTCCCTCGGGATCACTTTCTCACTTAGGCGTCAGGGGAGGCTGAACACCCAGAGGCAATGCTACCAAGGGTGTGTACATCTGCAATCAGGGAGACCTGGGAGGGAATTCTGTCCCTGAGTGGCTGTGTGATCTGAGGGAAGTTACTTGACCTCTCCATGCAGGAATTTCTGCCTTTGCAACATGGAAAAATATGGATTCTGCAGAGTTGACTTGACATACTCAGTGAGATGTTTATGACGGGGCCCCATATTCTTCTTGATTCCTTCGATAGATATTTGTGAATGTGGATGTCCACTGGGCTCAAGGCTCTGTGGTGGGTGAACAAGACAAAGTCCCTGGCCCCTGCCAGCTCCAGGGCTGGGGGTTGACAGACAGCTATCTGTTGACAGCTGAGTGGGACTGGGGCCAGGACAGGGAAATACAGGGTGCTTTAGGAGCTTGGAGAAGGCTTCCAGGGGGGAAGTGCTATCTCAGCTGAGTCCTGCAGGGTGAATGAGAAGTGAAAGTCTTGCTAGGAGCCATGGCATTCCCAAACTACTATAGGCACCCACCAGTACACCCAGGTAATTTTTATTTTTAGTAGAGATGGGGTTTCACCGTGTTGGCCAGCCTGGTCTCGAACTGGTGACCTCAAGCGATCCGCCCACCTCGGCCTCCCAAAGTGCTGGGATTATAGGCGTGAGCCACCATGCCCCGCCTGATGGTAAATGTTAATCACGTTCACAAATCCCTTCCCGGCAACATTTAGAGTAGCGTTTGACCAAAGGGGACCAGTCACCAAGCCCGGCCGAGTTGACCGATAAAGCCATCACAGTGAGGGATCAGTTCCCAGATAAAACCATCACAGTGAGGGATCGGTTCCCAGATAAAACCATCACAGTGAGGGATCGGTTCCCAGAAACATCACCTTTCATGCTGCACGTCTGACGGCTAAACTGTCTGGGTTCCCTGTCTCTAGTAGTCCCTCCCTCTCTTCAGTAGCTGCGTGAGATGATGCGGGAACCTTGAGGCTGTGGTGTCTTATGCAGAGATTTTTGATACAAGATCTTTTCCTGGGGAGCAACTGCCTGTTGAAGGAATGACGTCGGTGAGATGATGAAGGAAGGGAAGTCACATATATTGCTGCAGCTGCTCCCCTCCGTACACACAGGGGACTTCTCTAGACCTCATTGTCCTTAATGCCTCTGTCAGGGATCATGAGCGACTCCATGGGTGTGGTTTGAGAATCTCTGGATGAACCTACACATAGGACGGTAAAATGTTTCATTTCACAAAATTGATGGAGGGAGAAAGAGAAAAGAGCAATGACTATGCAGCCTGGTTGTTAACTGATGTCTCCAGAATCTTCATATTTCTTTGTTCCCTTTGAGAAAGAGTCTTGCCCTGTTGCCCAGGCTGGAGTGCAGTAGTATAATCTCAGCTTACTATAGCCTCCACCTCCTGGGTTCAAATGATTCTCCTGCTTCAGCCTCTCTAGTGGCTGGAACTACAAGTGCCCGCCACCACACCCAGCTATTTTTTATGTATTTTCAGTAGAGCTGGGGTTTTGCCATGTTGGCCGGGCTGGTCTCAAACTCCTGATCTCAGGTGATCAGCCTGCCTCGGCTTCCCGAAGGGTGGGATTACAGGTATGAACCACCACGCCCGGCCCTCATTTCTTCCTATAAAGGTGTTGGCTGGGCACAGTGGCTCATGCCGGGAATCCCAACAATTTAGAAGGCTGAAGCACGAGGATCACTTAGAGCTCAGGAGTTCGAGACCAGCCTAGGCAACATGGCGAAACGCCGTCTCTATAAAAAATACAAAAGTTACCAGGCATGGTGGCTCTCGCCTGTAGCGTAAGCTGCCTGGGAGGCTGAGGCTGGAGGGACAATTGAGACCAGGAAACGGAGGTTGCAGTGAGCTGAGATTCTGCCACTGCACACCACACTGGGCAACAGAGCAAGACCCTGCCGCAACAAAAAAAGAGGGGGGAAAGGGTTGTGAGGACTTTTTTCTCTCTGAGAATTAGCTTCTACATGTAGAAATAGATCCTGAGAGAATCCTTGTGACACCTGAAAATCGGCTGGGTGGTAATTGGGTTAAGATAGTTCTCCCGCTGGGCGTGGTGGCTCACACCTGTAATCCCAGCACTTTGGGAGGCCAAGGTGGGAGGATCACGAGGTCAAGGGATCGAGACCATCCTGGCCAACACGGTGAAACCCCATCTCTACTAAAAATACAAAAATTAGCTGGGTATGGTGGTAGGCGCCTGTAATCCCAGCTACTCGGGAGGCTGAGGCAGGAGAATCGCTTGAATCCGGGAGGCAGAGGTTGCAGTGAGCCAAGATCGCGCCGCTGCACTCCAGCCTGGTGACAGAGTGAGACTCCATCTCAAAAAAAAAAAAATCCCAGTACTTTGGGAGGCTGAGGCAGGCGGATCACCTGAGGTCGGGAGTTTGAGACCAGCCTGACCAACATGGAGAAACCTCGTCTCTACTAAAAATACAAAATTAGCCGGGCATGGTGGTGCATGCCTGTAATCCCAGCTACTCGGGAGGCTGAGGCAGGAGAATCGCTTGAACCCGGGAGGTGGAGGTTGCGGTAAGCCGAGATCGCACTATTGCACTCCAGCCTGGGCAACAAGAGCAAAACTCCGTCTCAAAAAACAAAAACAAAAAACAATTTCCAAATGTTTCACACATAAGTGTTTGTGTAAGATGGTGGTGGCCCAAAGGATGTCAGGGAACTAACTCATAGGGAAGATAGATTTCAATTTCTGAAAGATTAACTCTTTCTGGGGTGTGTGTGTGTGTGTGTTCAGTACATACTCAAACAGTTTCTGATTTGGTTCTTTCCCACCCCAGTGTGTGCTGGTAGCCACGATTTGGTGAATAAACATTCAGAGGACCAGGAAAACTAGTGAATTCTTGGTTTCCAAGTTTGTCAAAAGAATAGAGCCTGGGAGGCTGGTCTAAAGTTTCCATTTAGCATTTAATGTCAATTTTTGGTTGCATTCATCTAAGATGTATATCAAAAGAATACAGAGAGATACCCTTATTGCAAAATATGCCGTTGGGTTTTTTCACTTAACCTACAGCAGCAAGATTGACTTCTTTCCCTCGGGAGTACAGTTCTCTGAGCTTTAACACAGGCTTACGTTCTTGTCACCACCATCACCACAGTCAGGATGCAGAACAGTCCCTTCACCCCAGGACACTCCCTGGAACTGCCCCATTGCAGTTACCCCTCCCTCCCTGGTGTAGAGTGATCTGTTTCCTTCCCTCTGGTTTTGTCTTGGGGAGAGTGCCATGTCGGTGACGCCATATGGTTTGTGGCCTTTTGAGGTGGGCTTCCTTCTTTTGGCCTGATGAACGTGTTGAGTGAGTGTCGGATGCTTCTGTCCTAGGCTGAAAAAGCAGTTTCACTGTGTGGAAGATGACAGGTGTTCAGCCAGCCTTCCACCAAAGGACGTTTTCCTCTCTCCAGTTTGGGGCAGTTTTGCACCAAGCTGCTTTTACCATTCGGTGCGAGCTTTTTTGTGAACCTAAGTTTTTGTATTTCTCTAGGGTAGATCCCCAGGAGTGGATGGCTGGGTCCTATGGTAAACATCTGTTTCACTTACAAGAAACTGCCAAGGTGCTTCTCCAGGTTGCTCTGCTATTTCGCCCTCCCAGCTGCAAAGTATGAGACTTCCAGTCGCCCAGCATGTTGTCCTCGCTCGGCGTTGCCAGTACTCACGGTGTTAATTTGCGTTCCCCTAGTGCTCAATGATGTTAAATACGGTTTCATGTGCTCCCGTTCAAGTCTTTCCCCCATTTACTGGTTGGGGTGTTGATTTTCTTATTGTGGAGTTTTGATAATGTGCCATGTATTTCAGATGTGAGATCTCAGTCAGGTCAATGATTCTCAAACATTTCCTCCTACTGGTGCAACTTTGATTTTCTTTTTCGGAACACACTAGCTCTTACGAAGCCAAGGTTTTATTTTATTGTCTTTTATTGATTGATTGATTGATTGAATGATTGATTGATTGATTTTGAGACAGGGTCTCGCTCTGTAGCCCAGACTGGAGGGCAGTGGCTCGATCTCGGCTCACTTCAACCTCTGCCTACCGGGTTCAAGTGATTCGCCTGCCTCAGCCTCCGCAGTAGCTGGGGACTACACGCATGTGCCACTGAGCAGCTAATTTTTATATTTTTTTGGTACCGACAAGGTTTCACCACATTGGCCAGCCTGGTCTCGAACACCTGCACTCAAGTGAACCAGCCACCTCAGCCTCCCGCAGTGTTGGGATTATAGGCAGGAGCCACCGCGCCCAGCCGGACCCAGAGTTTTAAATTTTGTCAGACTTCTATTCATCCATCTTTCCCTTCCGTGCATCGTGCATCTCATGTCATGTCCTAGCCTCCCCTCACAAAGATGTCCTCCTACGGTTTCTCCCAAAGGTCTTAGTATTGAACTTTGTCGTGTAGGTCTCTGAAGCATTTTTCCTTAACTGCACATAAAGGTTGAGGTTGAGGTGCATCTCCTCACATAAGGATACAGCGCCTCGTATATTGTAAAGCTTATCCTTTCTCCATTGGATTCCCTCTCACATCCGTGTCAAAACTCACTGGCCACATCTCTGTGGATGGATTCACGGACTCCGCTTTCTTCCATGGATCTACATGTCTACCCCTGTGATCCAGCAATCTCCATTATTACAGCTTTAGAGCAGATGTGAAAATCCAATAACACGATCTCTCGAAATCCCTTCTGCTCTTTGGAACATCGGCTATTCCACGTGAATTGTCGAATCTGCTTCTTTATATATGTAAATGTCCCTCAAGGATTCTGACTGGCAGGCACTGCATTCATTCTACACATCAAGTTGGGGACAGTTGACTTTTTCCCTTCTTGGGTCTTTAAATCTGGGAACACATTGTTTCTCTCCATTTAACTAAATCTTCTTTGATCTCTTCATACCGTTTTATAGTTTTCGGCACACAGACCCATTCCATGTATTTAAGCTCTATACGTAACCGTCTCACTGTGTTTGTAGCTTTTGTAAATGGTATTCTTTCTTAAATTTAGGTTTCCAGTTACTCATAAGATTGTTTTCCGTGTGTTGACTTTGTCTCCTGTGTCACTGCTAAGCTCTCATTAACGAGCACTAAGCTCTTATTGGCTCTGAGAGTCTGGGGGAGACACATGTGTTGTTCCATGTAGATGATCACATGCCCTACGAAAAGGAGTACTTTGGTTTCTTGCTGTCTCCGGTGGGTGCCGTGAGTCTTCTGGCATTATAGCACTGACTAGGCCTCCAGCGTGACGTTGAATAGACGTCCCTGCCTGGTTCACATCCTCAGGCAGAAAGCATCCAGTCTTTGACCATTGAGTGGCTTGTTAGTTGTAGGTTTGACTGTTTATGGCCTTTTTGTGGGGGAGGAAGTTGTCTTGTGTCCCTAGGGTGCTAGTTTTTATATCACCAGTGGACTTGGAATCTGGTCAGATGGTTTTTCTGCATAGCTTGATTGATCCTGTCATTTTTGTTCTTCATCTGATCTCTCAATCTGTGGATTACATTGATGGATTTTCAGGTATGGGAAGAACAGTCCTCACATTCCCGCTATAAAACCCGGTTGATCACTGCTCATTCTTCTTCTCACATATTGCTCCATTCAAACTGCTAGGTTTGTGTTGAATACTTTGGTGCCTGTGTTAGGAAAGAATATTGGTCTGTCATTTTCTTGGTATCCCTGCGGTGCTGGTCTCATAAAGTCAGTGGGACGCATTCCCTCTGCTTTGTTACCTAGAAGAAGTTGTGTAAGTTGGTGATACTTCTTCATTTAATGTTTGTTAGAATTTGCCAGTGAAACTTTCTTGGCCCAGAGATGTCTTTGCAAATGTGTTTACCTGTGAATTCAGTTTATTTAAAAGATACAGGACCGTGCACACAGTTCAGTGTTTGAAGTCCATCCTATGTGAGTTTCGGTAGCTTGTGGTTTTCGAGTATGTGCTACATTTCCTCTGACCTGTGGAATGTGAAGCTGTAGAGTCGCATGTATTCTTACCCTGTTGACCGTTTTATGTTTTCTGTGTCTGGAGTGAAATCTCTTCTTGCGTTGCTGATATTGGTAACTTGTTTCTTTGCCCTCTTTTCCCCCAGTCAGTCCTGCCACGGGTTTATCACTTCAAAGAAGCAGCTTTTGGATTAATTGAATTCTTGTATGTTTTTTTCTGTTTGAAGTCTCCTGGGGGTTTTTGCTTCTGCTGCTTAGCAAAATGAATTCTTATCTACAGTAGGAATTTGGAGAGGATTTCCATAGGTATGAGCAGCCTTTCTGACTAGACGCAAACCCAGCGGTCAGGAAGACGAACATGCAAAAGGGTGTGTCCCCATGGTGCAAACGCTTACAATTGAGTAAAAGTCTCCCTTGTGAATGGATGAAAATGAACGCTCATGGGAAGAGCACCTGTGAGTCACGCATTGATTATTCTTCATATGATGCTTGGGAAGGGGTTGGAAAATGTCAGTGGGGAATCAACATCACTGAACTGCATTGCATCCTTTTGCACCCCGGGTCACGTGGATGCATTAATTGGTATCATTTCTCAATCCTTTATTAGATGGCATTAGTATTCTCAGCTGCTGAGATGTGTGATCTCACGTCATCCTCAGAAGAAGCCTAGGAGGGGGTGTCTGTATAATCTTCATTTGACACACAGGAAGTGGAGGGACAGAGAGGTTGAGTCAGATGAATAATCGTGTGTTTTCTTGTTGTCTTATCACCTTGCGTTGCAGTCTGGGTTCTGCCTGCACACATTCCTCGCTACCTTCTTGGTGTCTGAGAACCTCCAGCTTCACCACCCTTTCTAGACCCAAGGGCCTGGTGGAGCTTCCAGCTGGGACCAGACCTCCATGGATCCACTCCAGAAACAGAATCCAGCATCGCCTTCTACATCTTTCCCGATGACAGCTGCAGAGACTTCCCGGGAAGGCCCAGCGCCCTCGCAGCCTTCATACTCGGAGCAGCTGATGATGGGCCTCAGTAACCTGAGCCCCGGTCCTGGCCTCAGTAACCTGAACCTGGGCCCTGGCCCCAGCAACCTGAGCCCTGGCCCCAGCCACTCCGCACCTCTCCCCGAGGGGCTGCTCCACGAGCGGTACAGAGAGGAGAAGACGCTCGAAGAGCAGCGGTGGGAGAGGCTGGAGTTCCTTCAGAGGAAGAAAGCATTCCTGAGGCACGTGAGGAGGAGACACCGCGATCACATGGCCCCCTATGCTGTTGGGAGGGAAGCCAGAATCTCCCCGTTAGGTGACAGAGGTCAGAATCGATTCCGATGTGAATGTCGATACTGCCAGAGCCACAGGCCGAATCTTTCTGGGATCCCTGGGGAGAGGAACAGGGCCCCACTTCCCTCCTCCTGGGAGACGCTGGTGCAGGGCCTCAGTGGCTTGACCCTCAACCTGGGTACCAACCAGCCCGGGCCTCTGCCTGAAGCGGCACTCCAACCGCAGGAGGCAGAGGAGAAGCGCCAGCGAGAGAGGCAGCAGGAGAGCAAAATAATGTTTCAGAGGCTGCTCAAGCAGTGGTTAGAGGAAAACTGAGACGCGCACCCACCTGGGATGGAGACCGGAAGGGACTCAGACGGAGCCCGCGTGTTGGCAGCGCCTGGGCGTGGGACCATTTTGGGGACGAAACAGCAAGCTGCGGTCGGATGAGTGCCAGGACCCGTTTACGGGGACACGTGGGAACCCTCCCAGCATGACCCTTGACTGACCCCAGGAAGGTCCTCATCTTTGGTGCCTGTCATTCTCGGATGGCCGCGAGGCATCCCGTGGCAAGGGATGCTGCATACCAGCGGTCCCCGCCGCGTCTCACCTGCCTCCCGTGATGCATGTTGTCGCTTTCCCACCCTGGATCTCCGTCTTTCTTCCCTTCCTGCTGTCCGTAAGAGATCACATGTCGGTGTAGTGTGAATGCCTTGTCGCTGTCCTATATGCTTTTGCACCACTGAGTTGACTGCCTCCGAGAAGCAGCACTAGGCCTGCTGAAATGCAGCGCGCTGCCCTGAGATCCAGTTTCAAGAACGGGCAGCTAAACGCAGTGTGGGAAAGGGATGTGGAATGAGAACTTGGTGGTCCGCCGCCGTACTGTTTGCGTAAACTTTTATGTACTTGGTAAGCTACGTGTATATAAATGTCGCCCTGCCCCTAACAGTCGAGTAGTATTCTCCCTTGCAGGAATTTCTGATGGGGTTCCTCATCACCAATACCAAATAAATATATGTAGGAATGGAAAATAGGTGTAGAATTCAGGTTTGTTCCTCCGTATTGATTTTTCTCGTTAGATCTGAGCTGGCTCCCTTGAAATTTCCCAGCAGCGGATCCGGGTTTATTGAGGGAAGCTCTGCACTGTGGAGACTGGGAACGGGGGAGGGAGGGCACCAGAGAACACAGCCCAGTCACTGGATGCAGCGAGACCAGCAGCCAGAGCAGCCAGGCAGCACCACGGCTTCGAAGAGAGGCTTCCTGCCCACAGGAGACGTGGAAGCAGAGTCCACCGCCCACGGTGAGAGCCCTGCGTGTTGGTGCCAGTGCGGGTGCCCCGGCCTGGGGGATGCGGGGCTGGCCATTGCTTGCGGTGTGGTGGGCCCGGGTGGGTGAACCTGAGCAGCAGTTTGCACCTGCTTCGTGAGAACTAGAGCGTCCTTGGGTTCCTCCAGAATCTTACTGGGATCATTTAGACATCTGTGCCTTTTGATTGCAGGAGGAACCAATGACTAAATCTACCTTTCTTTTAACCTCTGCAGAATCCTGAGGTGTGAACCCAGCCGGTACCCGCATGACCCCTCTGAACTGAAAACAGACTCTGCTTCGTGCCAGTCCATTTTTAGGTATTCCCCAGAGCTGTCTCGCTGCAAAAGTCTATGTGCCTACTGCCAACAAAAGTGGCTTGAAAACAAGTAAGTGTCTTAGATTCTGATGCTGGGATCTCATGAGCGAGCTTGACAGTGGAAGTGACCCAGCTCCAGGGAGAAGGTAAAAAAACAAACAAAAAAAGCAGGGCTTTTCCTTCTTGAAACACAAAGGCCTAAATGCAGGGCAGTGAATTGGGGAGGGTTTCAAAGGGGCTCGAGGCATTGCCCTTTGGCTGATGTTTCCTAGGGTTCTGACAGTATTTTCCCCACTTCCACATATTAGCTGCCTTCCTCCACTCCCACAGACCCATCCTCTAGCAACATTTTCAGTTCCGCTGTGTGAATTTGGAAAGCAGAACACCAGAGAAGTTAGGGAACCAGCCCATGACACCGGCAGAACTAGCACACGAACCTAGGCAGGCTGGGGTCAGAAGTGGCCCCCTTCAGCAGTTCACCTCTGTGAAGGCTATGGGTAAATGGCCTAGAGCAGGGCTTTTGGTGGTCATTTCATAGCTGGTAGCACCAAGTCTTGGCGAGACCCGTTGCCGAATCCTCCGCACGGTGCTGTGGGGCAGGTACAATCATCCCCACCTTGCGGAGAGTTTGTGGAGGTCCTAAAGTGGTGGCTGGGGATGCATGCCTCTGTCTGACTCCCCAGCCACCGAAATGCTATCTCGCTGACCTTCTCAGTCAGCCCGGCAGGCACACCTGGTCCATGCTGCCAGTGACAGCATTTCAGCAATCATCAGGGTTTCCATTTCCTCACCCTGCCTCTCTCCCTTCCGGGCTTCGTCGACTGTCATGCTGGGGAGGTCAGGAGGAGTCGCAGAGGTAGCCCTGCTCTGGGGGATTGATTGATTGATCAGGGAGAGAGATCAGACCCTGTGTTAGTCTCTGTCCTTCCGCTATATCATGAAATACCACAGGCTGGGTGCTCTGGATTTGATGTGGCGTGTTTATCCCCACCAAGAGTCAGGTTGAAGTTTAACGCCCAGTGCTGCGGTGTTGGGAGGTGGGTCCTAGAGGGAGGTGTTTGGGTCATGGTGAGGATCCCTCATGAAGGACTCAGTGTCCTGTGATACCATCCTTCCGGGCTGAGTTCTTGCTCTCACGGGTATGGATTAGTCCCCAGGAGAGCAAGTTCTTCACAGGAATCTGGCCTCCCCGGATTCTCTCTCCCTTCCTCCCTCCCATGTGATCTCATTGCACACGCCGGCACCCCCTCCACTTCCCACCATGAGTTGAAGCAGCCCGAGGCCCTCCCCAGATGCAGTTGCCCAAGACTGAATGTTTCGGCCACCAGAATTGTGAGCCAGATAAACCGATTTTTTTTTCTTTTTAAAAGATGTATTTATTTTAATTTTTTTAGACACAGGGTCATGCTCTGTTACCCAGAAGAGAGCCCAGTGGCACGATCATGGCTTAGTGCAGCCTTGAATTCCTGGCTCCAGCGATCCACCCACCAGAGCCTCCCAAGTAACTCAAGCCTGTGCCGCCATGCCCAGGCTAAGTTTTAAGTTTTTTGTAGAGACAGTGTCTGGCTGTGTTGCCCAGGCTGATCTCCAACTTCCGGCCTCAAGTGATCGTCCCGCCTCGGCCTCCCAGAGTGCTGGGAGCCACCGGCATGAGCCACCATGCCTGGCCTCCAGTTTTCTTTAGAAATTACCCGGCCTCAGGTATTCTGTTATAACAAAGCAAAATGGACCAAGAAAGCAGGCAATTTGTAATGGAAACAAATTTATTTCTCACAACCCTGGATGCTGGGATGTTCAAAACGAAAGTCCCAGTATCTGGTATCTGGCAAGAGTCTTCATCCATCCATCATGAATATGCCTGCAAAAATCCCCAGCAAAATACTAGCAAACCTCAATCCAGTTCCTCACAGGGCAAAAGGTGGAAGGGCAAGCCGGGAAGAATGTTAGGTCCTCGCATAGCAGAAGAGGAAAAGAGAGAACAAACCACTGCTGCAAGCTCCTTTCATTCTCTCACGAGGGTTCTGCTGTGACGGCCTGAACACCTGTTGTCATTCCACACCTCCCAACACTGCTGCAGTGGGGATTAATTTCACTGTGAGTTTTGGAGGGAAGACAAACATTGAAACCCTAGCAGATACGCATCATTGTGTGAGAGAACAGGTGGCTGATCCTGTGTGGTCCCGGTCCCGGGAGATGAAAGGAGTGAGAAAGATCTGAGTTGGAAAAAGCAGACATCAGGGGCTTGCTCAGGGAGCTCACAGATGCACAGTGCCACAGGGTCTTGGGTGTCCAGGAACAGGCATGGAAAATGGGTGAGTAGAGGAAACTGAGGCACTCTGCGCATGCGCCACGTCCTCACCTCCAGGTCTTTATCCCTATACCTGTGTGTGGGGGACGGAGGGGGCCTGGTGGTCGTGCCTGAGACACCATCCTATCCCAAGTTACAGACTAGGATGTGCAATCCTGTGATGTCCACAGATGTCCAGTATGCAAAATTCTACAGCAGAGGCCAAACCCAAACCAAAGGCACCGGCAGGAGGGAGGATTGGGACAGAGAAAGGTGCAAATGCGATGATCACGTGGGACATCTGAGTAGACCTGGAGCAGGTAAGGAAATAGAAAGACTACATTAAACATCTTCCCACTAGGTACAGTCTAGGCTCCGCTGCCTCATTAGTGAAGTCTGTCCGACATTTACAAAATACATGATACCAACTCTTCACAGATTCTTTCAGAATATAGAGGAGAAGGGAACATTTCCCAGCTCGTCCTCCGAAAATTTTATTACTCTGCTCCTAAAGCCAGACAGAGGCTGGGGGCGGTGGTTCACGACTGTAATCCCAGCATGTTGGGAGTCCGAGGTGGGTGGATCACCTGAGGTCAGGAGTTCTTGACCAGCCTGGCTAACCATGGTGAAACCCTGACTCTACTAAAAATAGAAAAATTAGCCAGGTGTGGTGGTGGGCACCTGTATTCCCAGCTACTCAGGGGGCTGAGGCAGGAGAATCGCTTGAACCTGGGAGGTGGAGGTTGCAGTGAGTCCAGATCGCACCGCTGCACTCCATCCTGGGTTGACACAGTGAGACTTGTCTCAAAAACATAATAATAAAGCAAGACAGAGACAGCAATAATAATAATAAAGCAAGACAGAGAGAACAGGATACCTTAAACCAACATCCACCATGAATATGCCTGCAAAAATCCCCAACAAAATATTAGCAAACCCCAGTCCAGTCATACATACAGTGGGCTGTGCAACATGACCAAGTGTCATTTATTCTAGGAATGCAGGACTGGCTTAACATTCAAATTTCAGTTAAGGTAATCTACCCTGCTAATATAATAGAGAAGAGGAACTACATCATCATCATCACAGACAGAGGAAAGCATTTGACAGTATCCGAGACCCATTCATGCTAAAACCATGCCTACACACAGACATGTGCTCCAATGTTCGCTGCAGCATTTTTTGGGAAGGTCCCAGAGTGGAAACAAGTCAAATGTCTACCAGTGGTTAAAAGGATAAAGAAGTGGTATATCCATATAGCCGAACGTTACTGAGCCGTGACGAGGTACACGCTACTGATGCATGCGGCAGCGTGTTTGAACCTGGAACACGTTATGCTAATTGACAGATGTCAGACACAAATGACCACTTATTGCACGAGTCAGTTTATAGGAAATGCCCAGAGAAGCAGCTCTACAGAGAGAGAAAGTAGCTTACTGGTTGCCTGGGCAGGCCTGGCGGTAAACTAACGGGGATTGACTGCTGCTAGTGGGTACCAGAGATCTTTCTGGGGTGATGGAAGTATTCTGAAACTGGATGGTGATGAGGGCTACAAAACTGTCAATTTACTAAAACTCACTGTATTGTTCCCTTTACATATGTGAAGTTTGTGGCAAACAAATTATACCTTAGTAAAGCCATTTAAGAAACTGTGGTACAGGCTGGGCGTGGTGGCTCTCATCTGTGATCCCAGCACCTTGGGAAGCCGAGGCGGGCGGATCACCTGAGGGCGGGAGTTTGAGACCAGCCTGACCAACAGGGAGAAACCCTGTCTCTACTAAAATACAAAATTAGCCGGGCGTGGTGGCGCATGCCTGTAATCCCAGCTACTCAGGAGGCTGAGGCAGGAGAGTCTCTTGAACTCAGGAGACGGAGGTTGCCGTGAGGCTAGATCACACCATTGCACTCCAGCCTGGGCAACAAGCAAAATTCCGTCTCAAAAAAAAAAAAAAAAAAAAAAAAAAAAACCAGCAAATGTGACCATAAGTCATTGAGGAAAGGGAAAGGGTATGCAGTTGTTTTTTTCTTTACAACAATAAGCAATATCCCCTCTCTTTCCCTCTTCTGCGTCCCGCCTACATGTCCCGTCTGGTCGCCTGCCTCCTCCACGTGCACTTGATGCTCCAGCCAGATAGACTGTGCACACCTGGGCAGAGGGAGTGCTGGTGAGTGCACGTGTCTACGTGTGTGTCTGTGTGCGGTGTGCGCGCGTTCCTGCGCAGGCACTCTGTGGGTGCACGCTCTAGTGACTGTACATCCCCTGTCTGTGGGCAGGCTCCCGTAATCCATGCTGCCTTCTGAATTCCACAGCCGGTTTTTCTGTTTGCCAGTCTCAGGGACCTGGCTTCGGTTTCCCTGGTAACCAGCCTCAGCCCTCAGCTTCAACCTCTGAGCACAGGAAGACATACAGAGTGGGGAGGGGTGGTGTCTCACCCACAGGGCCCCTGCCAGAGCTGAGCCCCCCCGATGGGATGAGTGGCAGCACGGTTACCAAGACAACAGAACCTCTCCACCCCTTTCCACCTTCAAGGCTCTTCTCCCTCTCCTGGGCCTGCCGAGTATCAGGTCGGAAAGGGGAAGCTGTGGCATAAACACTCTCCTAAGTCCTTGAAATTGCTCTAGCTGTGGCTGTAGAATAAATACATCAAAAGATGCTCTTGAAAAAGAAGGCGGCCGGGCACAGTGGCTCACGCCTGTAATCCCAGCGCTTTGGGAGGCTGAGGCGGGCCGATCACAAGGTCAGGAGTTCGAGACCATCCTGGCCAACACGGTGAACCCCCGTCTCTACTAAAAATACAAAAAATTAGCCGGGTGTGTTGGCACACATCTAATCCCAGTTACTCTGGAGGCTGAGGCAGGGGAATCGCTTGAACCCGGGAGGCGGAGGTTGCAGTGAGCCAAGATCGCACCACTGCACTCTAGCCTGGTGACAGAGCAAGACTCTGTCTTTAAAGAAAAAAAAGAGAGGGCAACCCACACGTTTTTTTCCGATTCATTAACTACAAGCAAGGCTATGAAGTCCAAGGTTATATTTTAAAAAGAGGACAGGAGAAGGGGAGCGTGTGCTTATGTGTCTCAATGTCAGCTGTGGGTCAGGTCTCTCGTGGAGCATTTGTCCAAGAGCAGATGCCGGGCCCTATCCCCCCGAGAGTCTGACTTAGTATGTCTGGAATGGGGCCCCAGCGTGAGTATCATGTTACAGCTCCTCTTTTGAAAGCCAAGGTGGCAGCTGCAGAAGGGGAACCATCCTCTCGGGAAGAAAAGCATATCTGAAAGGTCCCACGTCAAAGGACAAGCAGGACGTCATTGTTCCCTGATATGCTGGTAGTTTCTAGGGCTAATAGATTTCCTGGGCTAAGGAAAGGTCAAAAGCATTCACGGAAGCGTGAGTGCTTGTTTTACAACTGACACTGTGCTCCCTTTTCTCCTTATTCCTGAAATCAAAATGTTGACGGGAACGTGCTGCATTTGCCAGTGAAACATATCACTTGTTATTTCTGGTGAGGATCTCGTATGCTCGAGGTATTTTCAAGGTGAGTAAAACATCGCATAGATAGATACCTTTATGAGACATCACACGTTCGTTCTTTGAATCTAGACATGGCTCAGATTTGTATCAGCTGATGTGGATTAATCAGCTCCCAGGCTTACTTATTAAGTGTGTTGAGACGCATGGTTCACATTTTATTATAATTAGTGATACCAGATGAAGCCTTCTGCTTAGATAAAGGGCCACATAGGACTAGGTAATATACGATGAAAAATACAATTCAGCCATCCCTTGTTTCACGTGCTCCGTGGAGACCCACCTCCGCAAACTTCTCTTTTTTCTTCAGCTGTTCCTTCTGAATATTAAACTCTTGTGTCTCCAAATGATGGGCTCCTACTGCTATGTCCCGATCTAGGGATTTAGAGGTTATCTGTTGAGTTCTCAGAGGAGATGAGCATTTCGGTGTCTGAGATACATTCCAGGGCCAGAGTCCGCTCTTTGGCCTCCCCTGTGGGGGCCGCCCAAGCCAGGGCCTGGGCCTGGGCCTGGGCCTCCACTCAGATGCCTGTAGAGAGTCTCTGCCAATACGAAGCCTTCACAGGAGACTCTTTCCTCATCTGTGGCAATGTGGAGGTCACGGTTGCCTTTTTCCAAGGCCTGCAGAGTCACGGGGCGATCAGCAGCCAACCTAGTAGAATTCCTGGGTTCTGGGGATCGGGAACTGAGTGGACGGCGGTGCCAACCCATGAGACAAGGGACACAGTTGAGGGGGTCACCCGCTGATGTTTTGGGCTTGTGGGATATCTGAGTGGACATGCTCCTTAAACCATGCCCTGTGGGGGCTCTGGAGCTCACCTGGGATTTTCCCGGTGGAGTTCCTGATGGAGGAATCCATCAGCACACAAGTGGAGAAGGACAGAACCAAGTCTGGGTGGCGACGTGGGCACCCAGGGTCACCTACAGAATGAGGAGCGTCGAGGCCAAAGGTTGCAAGCCAGGAAATAACAACACTTTTCAGATGGTCAATGTAAAAGGACCAAGGAGGAGACTCAGAAGTAATGGCCTCGGGGTAGGAGGAAAGCCAGGGGTGGCTTCACAGATGCTGAGAAACAGAGCGTATTGAAAAAGGGAACGTGAACTGTGGCCAGGACAGCATTGGGTACTTTGATTTGGCATTGCAGAACTAGTTGGAGATTCCAGCTGGGGAACGTTGCGTGGCTGTGGGGCTCACTGAGAAGGAAGCAGGGAGAGGTAACCATTAACTCTGCTGCCGTGGTCTACGGGTTCAAGAAACTTGGCTTGAAAGGGCTCAGAGACCCAGGCTGATGGAAGCTGAGGGCTGAGGACTTGTCGGGGTGTGTCATCTTCTCCTCCCCAAACAGGTGAGAGGAAAATCGTGAGGTGCAGGTGCCATACATCCATGATGATCTTGAGGCCTGGTAATAGATGGCCCAGGCAGACAGAGGTATATGAGCCTCGTGGCGTTTCTCTGAAGATGGGCATAGAGGAGCAGCGGTTTCCAAGCAGCGGTGGGGTTGCAGGAAGGCTCCTACCACCACTGTCCTTCCCTCTTTCTTATCGCCGTGACCCATGGTGGTGGGGGCCGAGATACACCTCACCTTCCATGGAAACGGCCTAAAGGGATGGTGTCCACAGATTGCAAGAGTGTGACCTAAGTCGGTAGAGTGTGCAGTCGAGCAGGCAGGAGTTGAGAATATGTGAAAGGTGGCATCAGAGGGAGGAGGAGTCCCGCTGGGGGAGCACGGAGCAGTCTTGTGATGAGAGTGGTGGACCTACGGGGCTTGGAGTTGGGGTGATGGAAGGGGCGGGGTACATGGGGCACTTGGCTGGTCTGGAGATTCAGACCGAATGCCTGGTGCGAGGAGGTTTCTCTGCTTCGGAAGATAGAAGCATGAGGAGCCATCAGAAGCCAGAAGAGGTTGGTCGTGTCTGTGGCCCTGGCCAGGATGGACTTCCAGCCTCCTTAAACCTAAGCCCTATGGTGAGAGTGGCCTCATAGTGTCATCCCTGGTGGTGAGGAGGCTGTGCTTTTGGGCCCGTCAGGGGAGGATCAGAGAGACTTAGCCACAGGGTGACACAACGGAACTCCCCTGGGATTCTGGCCTCTGCAAAGCTGGGGCAGCAGGGTCTGAGTCCTCAGATCACCACGACGGGGCTGCAAGGAGCCCTGTGCTCCGGTATTCTTTGCAAGTGTAAGTAGAGCCCCAAGTCTGGAGGTTCACATATCTTGCAGCAGGCCACCTGTAGCAGGCCACCGTACATCATGGTGGGGTATGCTCCCCAGTGAAGGAGCAGGGTGCAGTCCAAGAAGGATTCTGGCCATCACTACCTGGCCACAGCCCAGGTGCCATCGGGAACTGAAGGTCTTTGTCAAGGAAACCCGTCGCTGCAAAGCTCCTTAAACTCTCTTTGAGTGGTGTGGGCGGGGGTGGGGGTGTCTCCAGGTATCTACCTGGGAGGTACCCCCTATAAGGAAAGGGGACCACATGGGGTATGAATGTGACAAGAGGAGGAGAAGCAAGCCCTTCCTCCAAATTGACCCCTTGAGAGATCCCAGGATGAGACCTAAGGGCCCTGGGAGGCTGGTTTTTGGGTCTGGTTTCTGGTGTACATTTGCTGGCCTGAGAGCGCTGCTGGGGCGTGAAGAAGAAGTGCGGCAGAAGTTGTGACTTTCTCAGCTTCAGGAGCCCAATCAGGATCTGGAAGCGGTGGCGTGGCCTTGGAGTTCCAGGTACTTGAGAGGCTGAGGTGGGAGGATGGCTTGAGCCGAGGAGTTCAAGGCTGTAGTGAGCTATGTTTGCACCACTGTACTTTAGCCTGGGTGACAGAGCAAAACCTTATCTCAAAAAAAAAAAAGACCCGAATCAGGCAATGAGTATAGAAATGTTTGCTAAATCGTGCAGCTCCACGTAAACTAAGGGGTGTTGCTGATTTTGCTTCTGCGGCCTAACTGTAGCTGCTGCTTCTATTAGTAACGGATTTCTATTATTAAATGAAAACACACTCAGAGGGGCCCAAGACAGCTGACTCACCCAGGGCTGGAGAAGCGAGACCTGCCCAAAGGGCCGTGCCCATGCACGAGGGTGCGTGGCGTCTGTGAGACATGAGGTTCTGCCTTGGAGAATGGGTTTCTGCCAGAATACGATGATGGGAGACAATTCTAGGTCTGTCAGGAACCACTGCAATTCCCTGTACCCGTCAGCTCTTGGGAGGAAACTGGCATTGTGTACATTTGAAAGAAATAAGAAGGAAAAAAGCCCTCCTCCTTTTTTTTTTTTTTTTTTTTTTCTTTTGAGAGAGAGAGTCGCGTCACTCAGGCTGGAGTGCAGTGGCACAATCTCGGCTCACTGCAACCTCTGCCTCCTGGGTTCAAGCGATTTTCCTGCGTCAGCCTCCCGAGTAGCTGGGCTTCAGGTACGTGCCACCACGCCCAGCTGATTTTTTGTATTTTTAGTAGAGACGGAGTTTCACCGTGTTAGCCAGGATGGTCTCCACCTCCTGACCTCATGATCTGCCCGCCTCGGCCTCCCAAACTGCTGGGATTACAGGCGTGCGCCACCGCGCCCGGCCGCCCTCCTTGTTTTAATAGGAAATTTTGTCTCGCTGTGCTTCCTCCAGACATTGTTCTCTGGCTGTAGAAACATTTTCTCACACCACCCTTCAGGGCTCAGGCCCTGGGAAGTGTGGTCTATCTTAATAAAGAACACTGGAGCCCAGCATGGCTGGGGACGGCAATGATGGCCCTCAAGGAGGCCCTGCTCACCTCAGTGACAGCTTTCATTGGCTGTTCCACTCTGCGTGCCTCTCTGGTTTCTCCTCTTTCTGTACTCTGTTGGGGGTGGGCGGTCTATTTATGGGGAGTTAAAATCGTCTCAGGTGAGTAAATAAGAGGTGGCAGCCATACACGCTGGTGCACACCTGTAATCCCAATGATTTCGGAGGCTGAGGTAGGAGGATGCTTGAGCCCAGGAATTCAAGACCAGCCTGGGCAATGTAATGAGACCTCATCTCTACAAAGAGTGGAAACATTAGCCGGCTATGGTGGTGCAAGATTGTCATCTCAGCTACTGGGGTGGCTGAGGTGGGAGGATCTCTAGAGCCCAGGAGTTTGAGGCTACAGTGAGCTACGATCGTGCTACTCTACTCCAGCCTAGGTGACAGAAAAAAAGAAAAAGAAAAGAAGGAAACAAGAGGGGAAAAAAACCCTTCCTTTTAGAAGAATCTCTGGCTTACTGCTTTTCTCTAGGCATCCTTTCCTGGCTCTGGAAACAGTTTTTGCCTCCAGGCTCCATGGCTCAGGCCCTGGAAAATGGGGTCTGTCCGAATAAAGGACGGTAGAGCCTGGGGTAGCATGGGGAAGGGAACAACGGCTTCCCTGTTCTGTGTGTGTGTCTGATTCTCTGCTCTTTGTGTGTCCTGTTCTGGGGGTCTGCCTACAGGGGGTTACAATTGTCCTCGGTTGTAGTAGAGAAGACAGGTGTGTCCCATTTTCTTGCTACTGTGGGTCGATAAGACGGGGTGCAGAGCAGGAGTCAGAGGGGATGGTGTTTAGGGAGCACAAACTCACTCATGCCCCTCATACCCCACAAGCACATTGGTTGATTTAGTCTCTCTGACTGATGTGATGTTCATCTTGCTTGTCCACCCTCTGGACTGGATAGTAAAGGGAAAGGAACCCACTGGATTTTCGTCTGATCTGGTGTCATCTGATGCTGTTATGTAACCAGTCCATTTGTACAAATGCTCGATCTGTTTTGGCAAAAATGATCAGTCTCTTGGATTGCCACCCCACCTCTCTACTCCTGTCCAACATGGGGAAGGGGCGTAAGTGGCTTTCGAGTCTCCATGGTGATGTGGGAAGGGGCCTATGACATCTGATGTTGATTGCAGTAGCCTCGGTGGTTTCTTGGGGAAGGCTCACTCTTGTCCCTCAGTCCTGCTGGCACTGCTGCCCTGCTCATCCATGCGTGAGGCTGGCGTAACCTGCATTTTTGTCTCCTCTCTCATCTTGATCGGGACCTT